ATATATATATATATATATATATATATATATATATATATATATATATATATATATATATATTACATTATACAAATATATCGAAGTTTACAGACATTAATTACTAAATTACTAATACTAGTGCATTTATACGAATTTATATATATATATATTACAAATATAAGATCTCCATATTTTTCGTTGTACGCGTCACACATAGACAAGCAGCAACACATTAGCATTTATGGAGATGCGTTATTACAGAAGTGAAAAGAAAAAGAAATTCGAAAGAGAGGAAGGAGGAAGAGACAATGCATATTTGATTTATAGAATTTCCCTGTAATGGTCGGTTCTTACACGAACTACTGACCGCATGATGCCAGCAATTATGACTTTATACTTTCATGTGTCGTTTCGGGTTCTTTCCAGTGTAATTCATGGATTGCGTAAAACTTGTACATTCCCCCAGGGAAAGAGCAGTTGTTTGACGAGATAGAGCGAAGCATAATCCCGTCTGAAAGGAAACGAAATATTTCTAGTGGATAGTATTATATTAGAGAAGCAATTAACTTCAATTAACTTCAGAATTGATTATTCGAGAACGCATCTATAATTTTCTATTATCAATTTTCTTGCAACGAGGAAATAAGTATTTGTTCCAATTATGTCAACAAAATCGGTTCGTTGACCCCTGTCTGACGGGGCTTATAAAATGTAATTTATTTTAATTAATAATTTAAGGATTATTATAAAATTGAAAATAATTAATATATTTCGTTATAAAAAGAATAATTAATAATATTAAATATAATTAGTCATTTAATATATACGCATTTCTATGACGCATTTTCGACAAGATTAATGAAACCTGTTAGATTTTTCTAGAGCGTATATAAAAATTGTGCCGCTCGGTGCAGAAATTAATTATAAACGTTCTGTTTGAAAGCGAGCCCCTTCAAAAATCGAAAGTTCCACAGAAAAGGTGTGTAACTAGTGAACGTAATATGGACCCGAGGAGCAGCTAGTAGATAGAATCGAAACAACGCGAGCCGAAAGCCAAAGTGAAAGTTATTAAACCAATCAATATTTTCCACTGGGTTTCTGTGTTTTGATGAATCACTGGTGCACGCTAGTTTCGCAGGTAACTAAAGCCAACAATTAGAATACCAAATACTGAAGCGTTTGCTCGACGCACAGTGGTCGATTTCCATACAAAAAGCATGTACAAATTAAAATTATATATTTAAGCCGTACTTTTTCATTTTAAATTACTAGCACATATATTTGGATTTTTGTTGGGATAGAATAATGAAAACAAAATGCAGTGTTTTAATTGTTTATAAACAAATTTTTTAAAAATACAATTTTTGTTTTCAATTCAATTCAATTCAATTGAACCAGTAGTTCGATTGTTTCTTTGAGAAATGATTTCGATTTCTTGATCGTTCTTTTCCTCATACTCAACATGAACGGGTCGGATATCAGCAAAAGTCTACATATTATCCAGAAAAAAAAAATAAATTATAATTATTCTCGTTAGTTTCAATAGAATGCGAACAGTTGAAATATCAATATTTTACTCAACCTATTTAAAAAATCTCGCGTAACTGGATAGCCTATAGGTATCACGGTATGCTTTGTGGCATGTGCCATTTTGGCATTATTATTAGATGATTTCTCCAATAGCAGCTAATTTTTATTTTCTTATTAATGTAAGGCATCGCTCTTCGAAATGCGATCAAAGCGAACACCGAACTCCACCGAACTCATAATTAAAAAATGAAATGAAAATTCAACATATTCAATTGGAAAACATTGAAAAAATGTAAGTGATAAGAAAGTGTCCTGTGACAGAATTTTAGTACATATTAAGTACATTAAATTCTGTAAAAATTATTTCTTTTCAAAGAACAAAATAATCATAAACGATGATATAAATTTAGGATGATTGGAAGATGTCCAAAATGAACAAATGGTAAAAGAGATCATAGTAAATAATAAACCACGTCTTTAATTGACTACTAGTGGCTAAATTATGCATTATTTTTCAAAACTAATATAATATTATTATATTAGTATATAATATAGTATTATTATATTAACATATAATTGTGGCATATAATTGCATAATACTACAATCGAGAAGGAAACAAATGCGAGCAATTCAAATTTAGAATAAATCGTGTAATTGGTGCCCAGAGGAGGGCATTAACAAATGGTACAGGTGCTCGTTAATTTTTGCAATATTCTCGTCGATGATTGTCTTATTCGTTGACATGCGTGGCTAATTAATTCACGACGTCCTGGTTAGCATCATGTCCAGACAGTGACCATTGTACGCTGCAAAAGAAAAGTCATTTCCATTCACGTTCCGTTTAGAGGATGGGTTTTCTAAATAATCATAAGGTATCCGCAGACTCCCGATATCGCGCGTAAAGCGTACAATACCATTAGCCCGGGGGCGTATTAAAATGTCACCGGCGGCGTTGCGTGACAGTGACAGTCACCTCAACGACGCCGGAAAAATTTCGCACTCGTTACGCTTGCAACAATGATGTTTACGCGCATGGCAATTACTTCCGCGGCTGTTAACATTGTTAAGTGATAATCCAACGAGACGCGTGACGCAACTCCACTTTGCCATTCAATCGTTTCGAGTATCATTAGAGATAACTCGATGAGAATATTAATTGTGGATGGGCTGCAACAGACGGTTACCATTCGATACGCTGTTTTATTATCGATCGATGACCAAGTATATATTTTGCTGTCATTCGAAGTCACTCGAACGCTCTTGTCGAATGCAAAACCAACGAGGCATTTTGAACTCTGACTTCGTTTTCGAACCTTGATTCGATTGAAAAAAAAATGGCACATTAGTATACAATGGAAGGTTGACGAACGCAAGACAAATTGTACTTGATTCAGTCCTCGTTGAATCATTAATGCTTGAAATTATTATTCTTCACGCCACTGCTTTCGATTGGGAAATTTGAAACACTTTCAACAATGTGCTAAACGTACGTATGTTTTAATGTTGTTCGATCATGCTACGCGTTAGATGAATATCAGAAGTTTGAAAGTACCATTTCAATGAAATCAAAACATAAGAGAATTATTTATATGGCGCATTAGGATTTTTATTCATTTTGTCTTTAGATAAAATCGATATAAATGGAAAATAAACGTTCGAAGGCGCGTCTAAATGAAGACATAAAAAATTAATTATCCAGCACTTCGGATAAAATCGAATAAAATGAAGAACAACCGTCTAATGACTTTTTAAATCGACGTCTTAATAAAATGAGGACGTAAACGGATAATCGTAAAGTATTTCAGATAAAATCAAATTGTATGGTATGGTTTCAATGAAACCAGCACATACGAAACTAATTATGTAGCAATGCGTACAAAACAACAAGTGCTGTCTCATAAGAATTACATGAAAGAATTTACTTCAATTTTTCATAATTCTCACAATAGTGTGCGCCCGAATAAAGAAATATATTCAACAATTTCTAATAGAAACAGCTTTACGGCTTCAATAATAACGGAATAAATAACGGAATCAAAAATGTGAAACCGGTCATTCGATCGACGGCTGCAGGTTTAGTGTTACTAAAATCGAGCCGAAGGATAACCAAGAGGTATTTCAAACAAAATCAATTGAATTCATTTCGAAAGCGACATTTAAACAGCGGCACAACACGAACAGACAAAATTCGCAATTAAAAATATCATAATCACTTTTACGATCGTGTATAAAAAGATAGAACGCGTATCCAAGAGATAATCCTATCCAAGGGAACAAGTTTCGGAACGAAACTCTACCGCGTAGTAAGATAAATTACGTCGGTGACTCGTAGACCGGCGCGTAGTGCGACGGTTTCGTGTCGTTCAAGTGCCATTTTAATCATTTCAAATTTCTCCTGGCACTGTTGGTTTTCATTAGCGCGGTAGGTGCACTGTGTCGTATCAGAAACTACAGATTTCTATATCCCCGCCTCCATTTAGCACCGTATCAGAAGCCGGCGAGCCTATAACAGCCAGTAATCCGGCTGTCGCTGTCTGCTCGACTGTCCTTAACTATAGCTCGCAGAGTGGGGACCGTCGAGCAGCAGCACTTGACACGAGGAAAGGAAAGGAACGAAACGAGGGAGGTGGCGTCAAGTCCAAGCGGTTCGGTCGCCCAAGGTAATATAAAGCCGTACGTCGACTTCACCTGGTTTAACTTACCTGGGACATCGAGCAGCTCCGCTGTCCAGCACGGCCAGGAAGTCCGCCAGTGCCACACCACTTTCTACCATCATGTGAGTTGCTCTAAACGCTCTACATTCTTTGTTTGTCTACTATTACCCCGATCCTAGCTCAAACCCGCCTCGATTATCGCGTCAACTATTTTATGCAATCGGATATCGTCCCACGTGCATAATCATGCAAATGTTCTATTTTCTAGATTGCTACTAATTAGGGCAATTACCAAGATATCACTCGATGTTTTTAAGCAATATATTGGCAATTCAAAGATTATCTTCAACATATTAGACAGAGTAAAAAAGGAGACCAATTTCACTTTGTTGCAATGATTTTCACTTTGCTCAGAGATTCGCAAGTCAGCAATTTTAATTTTTCGTTGCGGTCAGGAATTGATCGATTACTGCGAGTAATATTTTTCACGAGACGTTTGTTTGCTCGCGGAATATTTAGTTGATTTCATAATTGTGTCCTAGAAATTATTCGCTTAATTATTCGCTTTTAGTCTGTTTTGTGATCGCGCTCCAGAATTGATTTAATAGAGGAATATTTTTCGTCTATTTCATAGTTATGCTTCAGAATTTATTTGCCTAAATCCGTTATTTTGCAAACAATTTGTTTTAGCGACAATAGAGCTTTACTTTGCACCTAACTGCACCGTTTCGTCACGATGATTAATTCGATTTGATCAAGTTCGACGGCACTTAATTATAGCGATGAATTTTTCAGAGAATTTTGATGTATTCACAGGTTTCATTTCGTTTATTTACGATCGAATCGAAACGACCGATTGTAAAGTTTCTGTTATCTTAATTAATTCTGAAAGAGACTCGCGTTTGCACAACTTCGAATAATTTGCAATTTCTTTCAACGTAATTATGGATCGTCGATCAGCCTGTTTCGTAATCACGCGCGGCAAGTAATGATCGCGCTGTGTGACGTTTTTCGTTAACTGATTAGCATCATGGCACTACTTCGCAGTGTTTACGATGAGTATGTTAATCACCTATACACTGTTGCCACTTCTATACCAGTCTATAAACATGAAATTATTGTGAACAAATGCAGCAACACGATTGAACTTTCGCATTATTCGAGCCGTACCTTTCTCAAACATTGTTCAGTCTTATTTCTCTCGGTAATTATTCAGCATTCGCAATTCAAATGCTTTTCTTCATAAGAGGGGCTTACAATGCCCTCGGAATAACAATTACAAATGTTCGAATAGTAATTGCAAATGCACCATCAAAGTAGAACTCGCTGTACTATAACACGGCAATCGACATAATTTTGATTACGTCTCTGGCGTTGAATGCAGCAACGCAATACGGCGATAACCATCTCATTAATATTCGCTGTGAACGCGGAAAAGGCGAACAATCCCTGTAACTTCATATCCTATTTTCCTCGTCGATCTACAATGCGTCAAACAGGTTTTCATGCGCCTTTTGAAACGGAATAACTTTGTTATAATTGCAATGGTTGCGACGATAAAAAAAACTTAAAAGACGATGTCTTTTCAATCTGTTCGTAGCTCCAAACATTGTCAACAAATTTCGATGAAAAAGCATTCTTTAATTTGTTCATCATCCCAGCCAACAGCAGTCTCTGAAAACAATTTGTCAGCCATTGTCTGGTAAATGAACGAATCCCTTCAACGTCTTAACAAAAATTTAGATGGCTTGGCCCAATTATAAAAAAAGTTATACCGTTTGAGAAGGTGTAGAATAAAACGATTTAAAGGATTGAGTTTTCGCGAACGATAACTCGTCACGTTGCTTGATCTCCTTAAATGATATTCAGCGATAAGTGGATCACGCTGAATATCGCGTTAGGATGCAGATGTTGCATAAGGTGGACACCATTATGCCCGAACGCGATCTTGAGGTTATTATGCAAATCGTTGCGGCAAGATTCGCTTTTCAACATTGATAGATTCGCTCGCGGTGACGAGCCGCATTCGCTCGTCGTCAGACTGCAGCAAATGCAAACAGGTTTTTTGCAAATCCACTCGATAAACGAGTAATCGTTCGCTGAATCAACCAGAAATGCAGGTTTCGTTGCTAAATTACAGTTTAATCATTTTTGCGAACGCTAATGGCGTTCCTCAATCCTCGTGTCAACCAGGAATACTGCAATATAGCATTAAACCATGACATTATCATACTGTTATATACATTATTGCATACGCTATTGCATACATTATTGCATATTTTACTACCAAAGTTATTACCTGAATTATTACTGAAATTATTACATACATTATAATAGTACTGTCATTGGGATGAAATTATTCGTCGATGTTGTAGTAATAGCGTAATCAATGGTCAGAGTAAGAAAATCATAACTGAATTGATAGCCGTTGATTTACTATTGAATAACGAAAATTTTCAGGAGATAATTTATTGCATATTCGTGAGCACGTTTAATTTCACGTCTCATTACCGCAGCCTATAAATCGTATCTGTTCTCGCTTAAATAACCAAACGATCTATTAGATGATTATATTATTCGTATTATATTCACTCGTATACCTAATTGCAAGACGGGTCCATGTATATTCTCATTTCCGCCAAAGGCGAGATTGTTTTTGCGCAACCGATCGGCTGAGATTGTTTCCCAGAACGGCAGTGAAAATTACGAGCGTAACTTTGATCTTCCGGGTTGATTTCGATTTACTCAACAATGGTCTCGCGTTTTTCGCGTGGAGAATTAAATTTATGTAGTGGCAAAAAAAGTAAGTGTTATTTCCGGGAATCATTTTTTGGAATCATTCAAGTAACATTAGAATTAACTTTGCAACGCATCTTTCTAATTTAAATGTAAATGAATTTAAAAAATGTACATAAGTTCGCAATTCTTTAAGTGTACATAGTTTTATTCACAATTTTTTAAATGTAAATAGTTCTATTCACGATTCTAAAAATATAAATAATTCTGTTAACAATTTTAAGTGTGGGAAATATTTATTTCTGTGATAAAACAAATATTTCTTGCACATTCAACTCTAAATATTTACATTTTTGGAATCGTTAATTATTTATTAACGCAAGAACTAATATTACTTCAAATACAACAGAATTATTTATTTTTGCAATAATCAAAGCATAGAACGATAATTTCGATTGAATTAAATTCGATTCATTTCTTGAGAAGTGCAAGCACATTTGCAAAGTACACTCTGTAAAATCGAAATGACGTAAGAGCACGTGAAAAAATTGATTACATATTCGATAACGAATAGTTGACAGAAATCAGTTTTCCGTCGAGCGAGCATTGGCATTATCGAACTGTATTTCATGATTACGAATTATCCCGATTACTAGCGTTGTTCTTAAGGTGGGCGACAGAAACGTGTCACACGTGAGATCCTCGCCTTGAAGCCCGTGAAAGTGAAAGGATTTCAGATTTTATCTTGCACAACGAAATGCGATTCAGGGGTTAAAAGTACATTACACCGGTTATTCTTAACGTCCTGGTTATTCCTGAACTTTATACCAGCCGACTGGCACGCTTATTAATCAGGAGCGTGTGTCTCTTGATTATCATAGATCTCGTTCCACGATATCCTTGCTGAGAATGCTGTTATTGATAGCTCGACAATTGATATCTTGCGAAATACTAAAAATACTAGATCGAAAGAAACAACTTCTACATTCATCGAACTTGGAGAATTAAAGGCACCATCTTAATAACAAATATGAAAGTGTAACATTCTGCATCATCAATTTCAAGTTTAAAATGTAGAATTTCATTAATTTGTAAATACGATTAGAAAATACGAATTCTAATGGAATTTCTATAATAAACTAATTTAGCAAAACGAAAGGCACTTTCAGAGTATTGAACGAAAATTATAAAGTTTTTTCCATCAATTTCAACTGAAATTGATAATTGAGAATTAATAATTGATAATTAGAGAATAAGAATTCTAAAGAAATGCTAGATTAAAAGAAGCAATTTTTACAATATACTAATTAAATTTACAAAACGAAAGATTTAAAAGAATTATAACTTTGATAGCATCGAGTTGAACTTAAAGGTGCATAATTCGACCAGCCTGTAAATGTAGTTAGAGAAAGCAATGTGCAATCACTGAATAATTCAAAGTGAACACTTTTCAACAAGATTGAAAACTAGGGTGAAAGGTCTTTCGCTTTGTTAAGACGTGACGTTACCCGAGAACTTGTTCAGTAGGCAAACAAAAGTCGACGAAATAGGGAAAAAATGAAAAACAACGAAACGATATGGCACTTTCTCCATACCCGAAGTAGAAAGTTTAGCTCGAATGGCGTGTTTGATCACGTTTGACAGAATAAACACTTGCTTTTTCTGCTTTCGTCGCGGCAACTATGCGATTAACAGAGCGGGACTAGTGGCGGTCAAACTTTTATTCGTCGTCGCGGATCGGCATAATGCTGCGCTTAAATAACGGCCTACTGAATAATGGATGGTAACGAACACACGTATCGGTGCTCGCCCTTTTCTTCTGCGCTTTAAGTGCAACTTTCACTGCATACAGATTCATGGACATTTTCGCGTTATTATGCCTCACCCTATACTTGGACTCGTTGGCGATTCTTAATTAACAAGACCTTGGTCACGTGCACAGATTCTAATCAGAAACATTGGAAATTGTTTCATAATTTTGTAAACTTCAATTTCTTTGTGGTGCAAAATTAATGGTAACGCAATTGCTCATATTTAGTAAATTGTCTCCTCAAAGATTTGTTAAGTTTGATAAATTAATTTTCGAACTTTACATTTAGGGCAATAAAATTTGTCAGTTAAATATTTCTACAAAAATGTGAGAAATTAATTTGTAGACTATAATTATACCTATTATAGAGCATAATTGACCGATACTAAAAAAAGGTCACTCCCATAAATTTTTCCATTAAATATCTGACAAGATAGAAATTTCAATAGCTTTTCAAAAATTGTAAAGTACTAAACATTTCGCATTGAGATAAAATGATGGTATAAAGATGATGGATCCCGGGATGATTTCGAATTTTTGCGCTCGTCAAGATCCGACACCTTTATCGAGCACGAGAAATCTCACTGAGAAACGGGAACAAGTGTCTCCGAAAATGAAAGCTTTTCGGCCGAAAGAAAGACCGAGCAAACGAAGTGGCGAGAAAGAGAGAGAAAAAAAAGGTGTAGAAGGAGAACCAGACGGAGAAGTAGCCCCGAGCAGTGAAAGTCGCTAACCGGGCTGAACTTTGCCGAGAATGGTCAGAGTGGTGATTTAACGTGATCCGAACGGAAAAATGAACGAGATGAAATTATAAAAATGCTGGAACGCCCACTCTCGGGCTGTTGCGCAAGAACGAGTCACCGATTTATTTTTCTGCTTGATCTGTGTCAGTGTGTTCACACTGGACTGGTCACTTTCAGTGCGACACAAAAATCGAGGATACGAGCGTTCGTTCTCCGTTCGTAATTGAATGAAATTGATTTGATGCGATAAAAATCACAATTACAGTGGGCCTTAAAATTTCCATAAATATTAACAAAATAACGATTGCACCGAGTTAAATGAAAATAATAATTAATAATTTTATAATTAAATAAATATAAAAAATAATAATTAATAATTATCCCTAATCCTAGAACTCCAATTTAAAAAATAATTACAAGAAGCAGTAGAAATCAATTTTTTTTCAGAATTACAATAAACCTTAGAATCCTGATATGACTACTATGTTGACAAAGTGATAATTGCACTGAGTTAAAAAGTTTTATGAAAGTAACAAATTACCTTGCATCTTAGAACTTAAAACAGAAATAATAATTACACTGGAACGTAATATTTCCACGGATGCAATAATTATATTAAACGTACGCCGAGCGTCATCGGCTAAACTTTGTCTCGACTAGTGCATAATCGCTGACAACGTTCGGTATAAGCAATAAATAAAATGTAAAACGATAGGAGATCAGTTAGCTTGATTTGCGAGCCATACCAGTTCAGCAGTAATCAATTCAACGACGTAGAATTAGTTAGCATACAATGTTTTATAGAATGTTTGTTCAGTTCTGTATAATTCCGTGAAGAAGATAGAGCTATGAACAAGTAACTGCGAATATACTATAATTTTATTGTAATAATAACGATTTGTAGAGATCTATGAATAAGTTTAGCTTTGTTATAATAATGAGAGTTTATTTTTTTTGACGAAATAATCAAGAAAACTTCCTGGATGGGATAAAGCTATAAATAACTAATTTATTTAGTGAATAAATAACTGTACAGTGAATATAAGTAACCTATGCAGCGAAGAAGTGCAGTAAATTCTCCCTAATTTTCCTTCAGCTTGTAAACAAAAATAATTTGGGAAGAGGAGATACGATTATTCGAGCCTTGCATCTCGTTTTCATAATTGTTGACAATAAGCAACTATAAAAATGAGCCGCAAGGGTCGAATAACTGTATCTCTTCTTCCCAAATTGTTCATTTTTGTTTCGAAACGGAAGGAAAATTTGGGAGAATTTGCTGTAACTGTATAGTGAATATAGTGTAATTTGTGGTAATATCGACGATGTGTTTCTTTTCTGACGAAAGAATTTTGATTTCAGGGTGGTGTGGTCGGTGCTGTTACTAATGGTGGCCATTTTGGGAGAGGCAGCCATACCAGATCCTCCGTCTCCCGGTATCACCACCGTCGGGTCCCTAAAATTGGCAACAGCGGCTGACTGTGCTGGCGTTGTCGCTTTTTCGGCTACCGAAGCTTCTGTCGACGTGAGTTTTCATTCTCACAAAATTAATTGCACGCCCGATAGAAAGTAAAAGGACATTCCAACAAATTATCATCCTTATCAAAATATCATGCACCGACGTACTATTTAAAATCCTAGCATGACTTCTACTGTCAAACGGAATTAATATCGACGGATATTTGAAAATATCAAATTATTCATCTTCGTATAATGACAATTTTTAGAATAATAGAATCGATTTACAAATTAAGAGACAGACGAAAGTTGTCGAAGAAAAACTCTGTGAGCGTCGTCGACAATGCATTTAAGATCGATAAAATCAATTGCATCACAAGTTACGAAAAAGAAATTTACTAAATATTCATAAATAAAGCCAACCGAACGATTTGCGAACGAAGTAATTTCGAGGTTTCATCGAGAATTAGAATCGAAATTGAAGGAATGATTAGACCGTGACCAACATTGTTTATTCGTTATCAGCTTGCCAAAGTGGTGCTCTCCAAGACGCTGGTCGACAAAGGCGTGGGATACGTCGCCCAAACTGGAATTTTCACGACTCATTGCCCGGGCCTGTACCAATTCAGTTTCGCCGGTTACGGCAGCACCGATCTGCAACTAACTTTGAAACAGAAATTAAACAAATCCGACACCTGGCGTCCGGTGGTCAGCGTCGGGCCAGGTGGCGGCGCCAATTTGATCTTGCTGGACGTCGAAGCTGGTGATCAGCTGGCGATTTTCGTTGATTCCGGAAAAATCACAGACGGTGCCACGTTCTCCGGATACCGAATCGCCAAGAAATAATCGACCTAATCATTGGACCGTATGAAAAACGATGTCTCAAGATCGGACCTAACGCTGAAAACGATTTGCCATTGGAAAACTGCAAAATTTCGAGATTTAGCTCGGAACTCCATCAAGGTTCTACAAACAATCCGCTCCGGAATACGTAAAATTACACTGATGGAACGCCTTCGCCTCAGTAATCAGAATTTCAATGCGATCGTCCATTGTCCACGCGAGATGTTTTCTGTTACCATGTTAAAACGTTCGAAGGCTGATTACCGATGATCTTGATATATTTATGATGGTTACCTGATATCGACCTGATGCTGAAGAGTGCAAAACGGAACGAACTCGGAGTTCAATCGACATTTTTGCTGGAGCTGCGAATCCACTATATTTTTCTACGTCTACTTGCCAAGCAGAATCGCTCGAAATGATTGTCATAGAAATTGTACGAATTCCGAATTGGAAAACGATCGATCAGAGCGGTTTTATCCTTCTCCACGAACCTAACGCTCTGTGATAGCCCTTTCCCTTCGGTTTCTTTCTTTCGCTGTCTCGCAGTCTCAACGATCCACTTGTTAGTTTCACAAAAATTGCGGACGGAACGATTGTCATTTGTCAATGAAATTGCGAGACCAGCCGATTCTGTTCTATACCTTAAATCGACGAATTTCCACTTTTATTCTTTTCTATCTCGCTCTCTCTATTCTCTGTGCTCCTATTATTCTCTCTTTTCTTTAACCCTCTTCCTTCTCTGTTGTACATATATCTTTTGATTCGAAACGTGTGTACAAATTCTAGACTTGTGTACTATACTTTTGTCCGAACCTCCTCTTTCTCTGTATAAATTGTCTTTATCTGCTGCAGAATTTTATTCTACGTTTATTTCTATCTTTTTTCCTTTGCTTCGATTATCTGCTTCTCTCTATTCTTTCTCTTCCTGTCGACATTCTTGCATTTACAATCACTTCTATGCTATCTCTTTTGAATACCTGTCAGTATTACGAACTTAAAATTCGGGAAAAGTTGCCACGAAACCTTTTTTGCGGACCGGAACTTTACTTTCTTCCTATTTCATAAGACACTCGAGCTTCTCTTGCCTCGCATACTTCTGTCTCTTATTTCTCACTTTCTCTCGCGACTCTGTAATTAGATTCTTCCTGCAAACTAGTTTGCTCGCTATCTCTATTTCTTTCTCTCTTTCTGTCTCTTTATGTTGCCTTATTTTGCGTTATGACAAACTTTCTCTTCCTTGTTTTTTTATCTGTTGTTGCTACCTGTCGTTTCATTGTTTTTCTTATTCCACTGTATCAAAGTACCTGAAATTTATTGCGTTACTATGTATTGTTTTCACTTCTAAGTGCTATTCTCTTATTCTATTTTGCTAGTTTTCTTTTCCTGTACTCTTCTCATATCTTTCTCTCTGTACCGTCTTTGTAAATTGTTCCTCGGTTCAGACTTCCTCTTTTTTCTGACCTCCACTTTCTTCTGCCTTCGGCTTTCTTCTGCCTTCAATTTTCTTCTGTCTTCAACTTTCTTCTGTTTTTCTGTTATCTTTCTGTTACATGTCTGTTTCTCTTTCACTAGTTTCTCTCATCTTCTTTATCTTTGCTTTGTCTCCAAGTTTCTGTCTCATTTATCTTTTCCTTTTCTAGCTCTTCTACACAAATCTACTGACTATAATTTCACTCTTCACTTTTTGTCTAGTTCTATTCGATGTTTCTTTATCCTCTCTTTATTTCAACTTTTTTGAATTCTAAATTTATTTCTCTGCCACTGTTTCTTATATTGTCTTGTGTACCTGTATCTTATTTCTATTTCTTCTCTACTTTCACTTTTTTCTTCTCTTATTTTTTCAAGTTCTGTATTCTACATTTCAAATTCTATATTCTATATCTCATTTTCTTTATCTCAAATTCTGTATTCTACATTTCAAATTCTGTATTCTGTATCTCAAATTCTGTATTCTGTATCTCAAATTCTGTATTCTGTATCTCAAATTCTGTATTCTGTATCTCAAATTCTGTATTCTGTATCTCAAATTCTGTATTCTGTATCTCAAATTCTGTATTCTGTATCTCAAATTCTGTATTCTGTATCTCAAATTCTGTATTCTGTATCTCAAATTCTGTATTCTGTATCTCAAATTCTGTATTCTGTATCTCAAATTCTGTATTCTGTATCTCAAATTCTGTATTCTGTATCTCAAATTCTGTATTCTGTATCTCAAATTCTGTATTCTGTATCTCAAATTCTGTATTCTGTATCTCAAATTCTGTATTCTGTATCTCAAATTCTGTATTCTGTATCTCAAATTCTGTATTCTGTATCTCAAATTCTGTATTCTGTATCTCAAATTCTGTATTCTGTATCTCAAATTCTGTATTCTGTATCTCAAATTCTGTATTCTGTATCTCAAATTCTGTATTCTGTATCTCAAATTCTGTATTCTGTATCTCAAATTCTGTATTCTGTATCTCAAATTCTGTATTCTGTATCTCAAATTCTGTATTCTGTATCTCAAATTCTGTATTCTGTATCTCAAATTCTGTATTCTGTATCTCAAATTCTGTATTCTGTATCTCAAATTCTGTATTCTGTATCTCAAATTCTGTATTCTGTATCTCAAATTCTGTATTCTGTATCTCAAATTCTGTATTCTGTATCTCAAATTCTGTATTCTGTATCTCAAATTCTGTATTCTGTATCTCAAATTCTGTATTCTGTATCTCAAATTCTGTATTCTGTATCTCAAATTCTGTATTCTGTATCTCAAATTCTGTATTCTGTATCTCAAATTCTGTATTCTGTATCTCAAATTCTGTATTCTGTATCTCAAATTCTGTATTCTGTATCTCAAATTCTGTATTCTGTATCTCAAATTCTGTATTCTGTATCTCAAATTCTGTATTCTGTATCTCAAATTCTGTATTCTGTATCTCAAATTCTGTATTCTGTATCTCAAATTCTGTATTCTGTATCTCAAATTCTGTATTCTGTATCTCAAATTCTGTATTCTGTATCTCAAATTCTGTATTCTGTATCTCAAATTCTGTATTCTGTATCTCAAATTCTGTATTCTGTATCTCAAATTCTGTATTCTGTATCTCAAATTCTGTATTCTGTATCTCAAATTCTGTATTCTGTATCTCAAATTCTGTATTCTGTATCTCAAATTCTGTATTCTGTATCTCAAATTCTGTATTCTGTATCTCAAATTCTGTATTCTGTATCTCAAATTCTGTATTCTGTATCTCAAATTCTGTATTCTGTATCTCAAATTCTGTATTCTGTATCTCAAATTCTGTATTCTGTATCTCAAATTCTGTATTCTGTATCTCAAATTCTGTATTCTGTATCTCAAATTCTGTATTCTGTATCTCAAATTCTGTATTCTGTATCTCAAATTCTGTATTCTGTATCTCAAATTCTGTATTCTGTATCTCAAATTCTGTATTCTGTATCTCAAATTCTGTATTCTGTATCTCAAATTCTGTATTCTGTATCTCAAATTCTGTATTCTGTATCTCAAATTCTGTATTCTGTATCTCAAATTCTGTATTCTGTATCTCAAATTCTGTATTCTGTATCTCAAATTCTGTATTCTGTATCTCAAATTCTGTATTCTGTATCTCAAATTCTGTATTCTGTATCTCAAATTCTGTATTCTGTATCTCAAATTCTGTATTCTGTATCTCAAATTCTGTATTCTGTATCTCAAATTCTGTATTCTGTATCTCAAATTCTGTATTCTGTATCTCAAATTCTGTATTCTGTATCTCAAATTCTGTATTCTGTATCTCAAATTCTGTATTCTGTATCTCAAATTCTGTATTCTGTATCTCAAATTCTGTATTCTGTATCTCAAATTCTGTATTCTGTATCTCAAATTCTGTATTCTGTATCTCAAATTCTGTATTCTGTATCTCAAATTCTGTATTCTGTATCTCAAATTCTGTATTCTGTATCTCAAATTCTGTATTCTGTATCTCAAATTCTGTATTCTGTATCTCAAATTCTGTATTCTGTATCTCAAATTCTGTATTCTGTATCTCAAATTCTGTATTCTGTATCTCAAATTCTGTATTCTGTATCTCAAATTCTGTATTCTGTATCTCAAATTCTGTATTCTGTATCTCAAATTCTGTATTCTGTATCTCAAATTCTGTATTCTGTATCTCAAATTCTGTATTCTGTATCTCAAATTCTGTATTCTGTATCTCAAANCTGTATCCTACATCTGAAATTCTGTATTCTACATCTTAAATTCTACTTTCTACCTCCCTAATTCTATACTCTACATCTGAAATTCTGTATTCTACATCTCAAATCCTATATTCTTATCTGTCAATGTATATTCGATTTTTCTGCTTTCGTTCTCTTTCTGTTTCCTATCTTCTGTCTATTTTCTCTTCTTCGCTATCCACATGTTTCATACTCTTGTATATTTCTCTCTTCATTAGAACTGTATTAAAAACTCTCTCTTGTCAATCTTTCGTCTTTAGAATCTTTTATCGAATTCTTCTCTATTCTACTTTCTCGAAATATTTCTCTTCGATTTTCTCTTCTATTCTTATTTCAATTTTCTGTTCTTCTTTTCTGTAATCTATGTCTATTTTTTTCAGCCTATTTCTATTCTACAATCTGTACCTGTCTCCTATCACTGTCTGTACCTTCACTATGATCGATTAATCTATTATCTATCATCTATTCTTTGTACAGACCATTCACTCATGTCTTATGCAACTCTGTACATATTTGTTTACCTATATTCTTCTTTTCTCTACCTTCTCTCTACAATCTCTATCTTCTCTTCAACACTTTCTCTCTCTCTCTCTCTCTCTCTCTCTCTCTCTCGCTCACTCTACCTCTAAAACTACAAATTTCACTTTCACCTCTTTAAACATACGTCGTCAAAAACCGCGATGCCCTTTCTAGTCTTTTTATCGATACGATTAGAAAATTGAATGCTCTAATAATGCTGTGCATTTTATTTTATATATTTTATACTCTATTTCTCTTTACTCTTTATACTCTTCTCTTCACTCTTATTAAAAATGCATCTATTTTACTCTCTTTCTGCTCTGATTCTTCTCATCTCGATCGATCTTATCGCTTCACCTCGCTGAGACTGTCTCTTCAAACATTTCCTTATGCATTCTCCTTTTTATCTCTCATCTTTATCTTCTGCATTCTATTCTGCTCTCTTCTTTTCCCTTTCACTGTCTCTCGTTTACGATTTCCGCGCAATTTTGTACATAATCTTTCACACGCTACGAACGCGCTGCATCGAAAAACGGAAGTCCTTTGTGTCACTCGCGACCAGGAGAATCGCGTTCTCTTTCCTCTCTTCTCTCATTCTTACTCTCTCTCTATCTGTCTCTTTCTCTCTCTCCCTTTCTAGTCTAGTCTCTCCTGTCTATCGTTAACACGACCCACGCCGCAGAAAGCGAACGCTGTCTTACGAAAGAACGACGCGAACACACTATCCCCGCCTATTCTTTCCCTCGTGCTGTGATTCTCAAGTGCTATAACTGTTTCTACTCTCGAACAGCCAATTATTTCCTGTATCAGGTGAAACGTTTACTTTTAGGTGATTCTGTAACTCGTGGCAGCTGCTTCGACGAGCCAATAGCTTTCCCCGGAACGCAAAGCATCTTCAACCCTCGTACGTCCCTGTAAAATGCGTGCTCTTTGACCGTGTTGCTATTCGACGTATTCGATTGAAATACCAAAGCATGTACATATAAAGCACGGTCGATTGAATTTTGGAACACATGAAAATGATCGAAATTTGCAGAGCATTTCAAGGGATGTACGCGGGGTGACACTATGATCAACACGTTGACCGATGAAAAATTGATACCTCGCTGTAATATAATATAGTTTCCAACAGAGAGCCAACTCAAAATGGATTTTTTCATAAATGGTACGATAGTCAACGTGTCAAACGAATTAATTGCGAAAGGAGCAGCTGCCACCGTGTCTTGTCTGTGTTTCAAATAAACGATCGGCTCTCACACCTCTGTCTTTCTTTTCCGGTATTCTACTCTACCTTCTGCCTCTGCTGAACTTTCTCTGCCACTCTGACATTTAATGTTCCACCTGTAAATACCGTAATTACTGTGTCCCCCCCCCCCCTAAGGCGCCGCGCTCCGTCGCATCTGTGCTACTGTCACTGTTACCGTACCCTGCATCCCCGTTCTTTGTACCTCATCACACTGCATCTCACGCTGCGCCCGCTATCACAGCAGTTACGTTGTCGAGAAGTAGATCGGAAAAAAGGAACAAAAGTAAACGAGTTACCGCGAGAAATATTGTTATCCAGGTGTCGAGGAAGCGTGCACGCGGAAGACTGCAGAACAGTGCGTTTTCGTCTACATTTCTTTCGTTTTTATTCAGATTCCTGTTTTTCTTTTTTCTTAATCTTGGTTTATGTGAAGCTTATAAAAATAATCCTGTACTAATAATTGCATGATCTTTTATTTTGATTAAAACCGATGAAACTTGAATGGAAGCGTCGAACGGTTAATGTCACGCGTTCTTCTTGCGAGAATGTCCACTTTCGGTCCCTGAGTGTAGAACTTAATGGCGTTCTTGGAGCGCTTAGGCGTTAGATACTCAGCTCCACGTGACCACCCAATTGTCCTTTGTAATTCTCGAGGACCGGGTACACTTCCTCTTCCAAGAATTCGACGACCTGCTCGGGTGCGCGACCGACGAACGTCGATGGATCAAGAAGGCTTTCGAGTTGATTCAGGATCGGTGAAAAGTAAGGGTCTTTCTTGATCCTCTCGACTAGATCGTTGTCCAGACCGTGCTGTTTCACTTGTGCGCCCGCCTCGTGTGAGAGCACACGGATCTTTTCGTGACACACCTGAAATAATTTTCATTTTTGGAGGGTGTTCAGAAAATGCAATTCCTGCCAGGTAGGTAGTCTTTTTGCATGCCAATTTCAGTCGTGTCTCTTCGAACTATCTGTCGCGTTGTATCGATATTTTTACATGATTTCAAAGTTTTACTTGAACCCAAGTACAGTTATCATAAAGTACGATCTTTCAGTTATAATTTAAGCCCTTAAAAGTTGAAAAATTCACACGGAAACATATTTTAAATTCGATTCAACAAAGCCTCTAGATTCTAGATCAAATTATTATTTTTTGGCGGCGGTTCGCTGAGTCGTGGAAAAGGAAAAGGGGAGACGTTTCGTCCGGGGCCCGCTAGAGGACTCATCGGTAAGGCTATCCTAGCGGGCCCTTGCCTTAGACGTAAGGGTAGGACGAAGTCTCGGTGTATATATAGGGATCGGAACGGATCGGCTACCAGCGGGAAGAGGAGCCCTCTGCTGGCGGGTCTGGAGGTAGCCGCCACAATTTGTTCGATCTATCGTTCGTTATTGCCGATTTCCCAACGTGCTTTCGAATTTTTCCTTGAACCAAAGTGCGTCTATCATAAAGTACAACCTTTCGGTTTTCATTTGAGCCCTTAAAAGATACAAAATTCACACCAGAATGTATTTTAACTTTGATTCGACAAAGCCTATAAAATCAAGCTATTATTTCTCTGACTTATCACTTGGCATTTGTAAAATTTTCAGCACGATTTTCAATTNAATGTCCACTTTCGGTCCCTGAGTGTAGAACTTAATGGCGTTCTTGGAGCGCTTAGGCGTTAGATACTCAGCTCCACGTGACCACCCAATTGTCCTTTGTAATTCTCGAGGACCGGGTACACTTCCTCTTCCAAGAATTCGACGACCTGCTCGGGTGCGCGACCGACGAACGTCGATGGATCAAGAAGGCTTTCGAGTTGATTCAGGATCGGTGAAAAGTAAGGGTCTTTCTTGATCCTCTCGACTAGATCGTTGTCCAGACCGTGCTGTTTCACTTGTGCGCCCGCCTCGTGTGAGAGCACACGGATCTTTTCGTGACACACCTGAAATAATTTTCATTTTTGGAGGGTGTTCAGAAAATGCAATTCCTGCCAGGTAGGTAGTCTTTTTGCATGCCAATTTCAGTCGTGTCTCTTCGAACTATCTGTCGCGTTGTATCGATATTTTTACATGATTTCAAAGTTTTACTTGAACCCAAGTACAGTTATCATAAAGTACGATCTTTCAGTTATAATTTAAGCCCTTAAAAGTTGAAAAATTCACACGGAAACATATTTTAAATTCGATTCAACAAAGCCTCTAGATTCTAGATCAAATTATTATTTTTTGGCGGCGGTTCGCTGAGTCGTGGAAAAGGAAAAGGGGAGACGTTTCGTCCGGGGCCCGCTAGAGGACTCATCGGTAAGGCTATCCTAGCGGGCCCTTGCCTTAGACGTAAGGGTAGGACGAAGTCTCGGTGTATATATAGGGATCGGAACGGATCGGCTACCAGCGGGAAGAGGAGCCCTCTGCTGGCGGGTCTGGAGGTAGCCGCCACAATTTGTTCGATCTATCGTTCGTTATTGCCGATTTCCCAACGTGCTTTCGAATTTTTCCTTGAACCAAAGTGCGTCTATCATAAAGTACAACCTTTCGGTTTTCATTTGAGCCCTTAAAAGATACAAAATTCACACCAGAATGTATTTTAACTTTGATTCGACAAAGCCTATAAAATCAAGCTATTATTTCTCTGACTTATCACTTGGCATTTGTAAAATTTTCAGCACGATTTTCAATTTTTCCTTGAATCTAAATAAACCAATAATAAAATACAATTTTCCAGTTTTACCTTGAATCGACAGAAGTTCGAAAATTCCCTTAAGAATTAATTTTTAAATTAAGTAATGAAATCCGATCCTTCTTCTTCGTGCTGTTGTGAGAGGTTTATCAATTTTTCCAAATAATATTGTCACACGAGAATTTTCATACAAGGATTATACCAGGGTTAAAATGCGCTTTATTTCATATCACTTACCTGTCTGTCACCTCCAGCCTTCACCATAGCCATTATTATATTTTCCGCGGTCATGAAGGGTAATTCTTGATTCACATGTCTCGCAATGACCTTAGGATAAACAACGAGCCCCTCTGTGATATTTTGAAGGGTCATCAAAATCGCATCCGCCGATAAGAACGCGTCCGACAATGTGATCCTCCTGTTCGCTGAATCGTCCAGTGTCCTTTCCATCCATTGCGTCGCCGCTGTTTGCAACGCATTGTTCGACAAGGTCATCAAATACCTTGCTATACTGCATGTCCTCTCGGAACGCATCGGGTTCCTTTTGTACGGCATAGCACTGGAGCCTACTTGAGTCGATTCGAAAGGCTCCTCGATTTCTTTCATGTTTGCTAGAAGCCTCATGTCGGTGCATATCTACAAGTTTAAACAGAAAGGTGAGAATCTTGTAACTTTACGTAGATTTGTAACCCTTTGCTCTCGAAGCCACTTTGACTAATGTAGAAATTTCAATTCTCCATATTTTTAGCTATTGCAAGCTGAATGTAAATTTTATCAATGCCAAGATCGTTTTAGAACATTTTTAGCAGCACCTCAAAATCGTCATTCGAGTGCAAAGGATTAAATTGTACTGTTCACAATTTTGATAAGAACCAGCTTGCAGATCGAGAAATTTATTACGATTAGACTGTAGAATTTGTACATTTCAGGATATTACATTAATTTCCGGTTATTAACACTATTTTTGCCGATAGTTTGTATTATACAATTTATCTAATCAATTCTGTGTGATTACTATAGCAATAGTCGAGAAGTAATTCCATAGTAAACATAGAAGATATAAGAAATAATTTTTATTAAAAATTATTAAAAGATGTCCTGTATCTCCTTTGGTAAAAATAGTGTTAAAATTATTAAAATTATTAAAAGTAAAAGATTTTGATCGAAAATATGTTTTTTACAATTACCTTTATCAATTTTGAATTCGCATAAGGATCCGTAGTCTAATTATGATACATTTAAAGGAACTACATAAGCAAGACCAACTAGATAAATTATTAAAAATATTAAATAATTTCACAGAATAAAATCAATTACTATCTATCACGAAATTGAATATAAGAATAATCTCAAAGAATCAAACATTTGAATACCATACAAATTGTATTTCGTCAATATTATTTTTAACATCAGTCAGGAAAAACACGTTAAGGTTTCTAAACCAGTCGCATTTACATAGACTTATGATTCAAATATGTGATTCTTACTTACACTCTGTTGATAACGTCGCGAGTGACAAAGAAATAATAGCGATAGCGCCGCTGTTAAGTTTATTCTTATACCTTATCTGTGACATTATGAGACAGATATGATTTCATGGATTATCGTTTTAATTCATTTTATCCTATAACTTATTCTGACGACTATTTCTAGTTATAAGTTTTATTCATTTTATTTATTTACTTACTTTATGAATAGTGGAGCCTAAAGAACTAAGCACATTTAGACACTCCACATCGACTTTTCTACTGTAGGTCTGACCGGTCACTGGATAATGCTTCTCGAAGCCCGCCATTTTGGTTACCAGGCGATCTAGCTGTTTCACCTTTGCACTGTCGCCTGTAAAAATATTTGTCAAATAGAACTAAGTCACGAATAAACTAAATTACAAATTAACCTCTCTCTAAATTGCACGTTTTCTTTTCTCATAACACGATGCATCCATAAAACGCTTGTTTTAATTCATGTCGAACAGTATTACTCATGTCAAAGAATTTTACTGGGATAAACTTTTTACTTAAAAAGATATAGATAATAAAATAATATTAAGTCATTAATCTACCATCTTCTCCCACTGAATAGTTGTAAATAATTACTTGAACTTTCACGCATTTATTTATTTTCAGAGTAAGATTCTTCGACATACTAAAAATGTCATTTTCAAAGTAAAAGGTCACCTATAAAAATTCTCACTACTAGTGCTAAAATAGAAACAATCTCTGATCTTCTGTTTATTTGTTATATTGTATAGAGTATATTAACCATTAAATAATTGAAGGAAAGAAGCTTGGGTTCCAGTGGTGCCTTTTACTCCACGGAATTTCAGGTCGTCTCTTGCTCGTCGAATAGCTCTTTCGTCCATCAAAAGCTCGTGTAGCCACAGGGATGCTCGTTTCCCGACGGTAGTAAGCTGTGCTGGTTGAAGATGAGTGAATCCTAATGTCGGTAGATCACGATACTCCATAGCGAATTTTGCAAGACGATCCAAAATGTTCGCCAGTTTCAGCAGTAGTATATTAAATCCATTACGAAGGATGATTAGGTCCTTCACAAGTAAGTATTAACATTATTCGATGAACATAAAATTATTTTCTCAATTCTACATATTCCAAATATAATTAAAGCTTACGCAGAATTTCTGTTCGCAATAGCTACGTTTCTATTTAATTTTGATTATGAAAATTTTCTATGAAATGCTATCTTATCCTTTTATACTCAAGATAAAAATTAAATGCATCAGATTAGCAATAGCAGGAGGACAATTGGATTACTTTAGAAATTTTTCGTATTCTTAATTGCCATGCAAGTGTGCTAAGATTTACCGTATTGTCTCCAACGTAGCAACTGGTCGCCCCCAAATGAATTATTGGAGCAGCTTTCGGGCATTGATCCGCGAAAACGTGGAGATGTGCCATAACATCGTGTCTCGTTGCCTTCTCTTCCTTCGACACTGCCTCGAAGTCGATGTCATTTATGTGACCCTCCATCTCAGTAATTTGATCGGGCGTAATTGCCAAACCAAGCTCCTGAAATCATTTTACGTTGATGACTCATCAAGCTGTAACGACGTGATCATAGTCAAAATTTTTCTTTAGAAGAATCAATTACTCTAACGATAGTCCATGTGTTCTAACAAAGACTACTATACTTAATAAAATGATTATTAAAAGTATTATTAAAATTTGAATATGCTAAGTGAAATTCAATTTCAATATACAGAGAAATTCTATTAAAATTTTTACTTTGTTTATAATTTCACTTGTTCATATTTATCCTACATCCAATTCCATAGTCTTGTAATAATAAAACAAAATACATCGAAATCGTTAAGAAGAATCATTTACGTGACAATTTCAATGTTTTATGATTTTAATAAACGTTTAATAAAAAGGACAATTGTGACTTTTCCTTTTGTTTATAATCTTTAAACTTAGCGTCTAATTTTTAAAGACTTGAATAGTTTAACAGCAACCATAAAATTGAAGATGATTCAATCAATGTAATTTCGAAAAATCAATCACGTAGAATGTTATGGTCCATATCTTTTGAACTTAGGCTCCAATTTCTGTCGTCTAAACCAAGCCTCTAATGTTTAGAAACTTGGACAGTTTAACAACAACCATAAAAATGGAATTTAATTTCGAAAAACCGGTCACGTAGATCATGGTCTACTTGATAGAAACAAGAATAATTGGAATCTCATCATGAACAATTGTCGAATCAACCGAAAAGGACACACGCAGTAGGGGAAGCGAGTTACGACAAATATTATATTTCGATGGCATCGACTGAAATTATCGCTCGTGATAGTAGAATAACTGTACAGGTGCCTTCCATACTTCTTATCCCTCTTTCAACGTACGCTGTATCATCTGATTAGATAAAGAGGGCTTGGTGCTCCGCACGCTATGAGTTTCACATTCGGTCGTGTTCATTTCCGCCGTGAAAAAGTACAACCTTCTTAGTTTAAACATGGTGTCCCTCGAAAGTGTCGCGGGCATAGCGATCAAAATTATCAAGTTGGTGAGCAGGCCTTTCTATTGTTTAACTACGGAAACTTAATAAAAATCGGACAGCGGCGAAAATTTATGATTATCGAACGGGATAACGGAATCGTGTGTTCAAACTGTAATTGGCTGAAGTTGAGTGTGATGCGTGAGGCAGTTTCAATTACGAGGGGATTGTTTAAATAAATAATACATTTTTAGTGATTTTTAATAAAATTATCGATTGTAAGACAGTGCATAAAATTACCTTACAGAAATTCCGTTTTCTCTCGTTGGATCGCGTTTGAAGCTGTCGCGAGTACTTCGATACTTGAAAATCTGATTTAAATGCTCGACCAATTTCGTTGAAATTTATTTGAAAGTCTTTTGTGTTGCAATAACACGATTCTAGGAACATTGTGATCGATGCGAAGTTATCTTGATATATATATATATATATAATACGATATTAACGATAATACTTATATAGAAATCAACAATCATTTCATTGGCACAATCGATGAACAAACTTGAAGTTTAAATGTTCATATTTAAACTATGCTTAAACATGTATAAAGTGATTAGAAAATCAGAACAATAGGATATTACACAGTGCATTTGTTAATTGCTTGTAATTTACGGTCATTTTGAACAAGCTCCGTAATATTAAATAAAATTAAGCTGACCGCATGATAAAATGTTCGGCGAATCGCGCGAAATTCGCGAATTAGTGCAACACAACGGATAAATCATCACAAGCAGACTCATTCAAGAAGCATTCACGCACGGTTCTATGATTCATTTCGGTCCTTATCGGCGTACGATAAGGAACCTTGTTTGTAAAACGATATAACGCCCTTTTTTATGTATATTATTGCGATACGAGTGTACTACTTTTATCTGCAGCTAGTATTTCTTAAGAATCTGGGACAGCTTTGAAACCGAACTGCCAAACAACGTCAAACTACAGCAAACTCGTTTTTCTTGCTATGTTTTTGACATCTGATGACTGTACAAATTCAACAACATGCCCAGAGCTCCTCCACATTCATTTCAAACCTGACCAAACCAGATTAAACATAATAGAACATTTATATTCCAGTTTCAGTTACGTTACTTTCGATATTGGCTTTACAATTATATTTTTAGCTTCAGCTGCGCTACTCTTGCTAATGGTTTTAAACATTATTTTTCTAGTTTTAGTTACGTTACGTTTGATAATGGTTTTAAAAATTATTTTTCTAGTTTTAGGTACATTGCGTTTGATGATGTTTTTACAATTATTTTTGTAGCTTCAACTACGTTGCTATTGATAATGACTTTACTATTATTTTTCTAGTTTTAGTTACACGTTACTCTTGCTAACGGTTTTACCATCATTTTTCTAGGTACTAAACCTCATAATCCTAATCCTGTACAGGACAGGATTCCACGGAGAATTCCTCGGAGTTGGTGGAACATGGAATTTAAACGAAGATAAAAGTCCAGACGCTGAGATGGTTGCGTCTGGGGTATTGGTCGGCTTCTTCATCTACACCAGCGTCGTTTTGATCAGCTACTGTTTTGGCAGCATGTACCACAAGAGAACGCTTGTCGTAAGATCGAATTTTCAACTTGCTATCATCGATCTAGTTTCACATTTTTATGGAAACTTCAAAACGAGCTTCGTGTGACTTAAACTTTGCACTCGAAGTTATATTAATTACCAGAAACGTTTTTTCCGACCTAGAACATTTTTATTGCACGGAATCTTTTCTATTCTACGCACATTTAATTTTATATATAATTCATGTTATGCACATTTCACTTATGAATAATTCATTTTATTCGTATCTCGTTGTATGAATAATTCATTTATTCCATTTCACATACACTTCTGCTGCGATTAATTTGTCCAAAATAAACAATAGCAATGTAAAAATTAATTTGATTTTTGGATGAGGATGTGCAAGTCGCATCTCAGAATCATTAATGGAGTGCAAAATGTTGATTAATACATGTTGTTCGTCGTAAACTTTTTATCAATACGCAATTAATATCTGAAAAATTTCCTATTTTTTGGATGGAGCTTTATAAGGAAATGATTCTCAGATCAATCTGATATTTTAGTGAGAGAGTACTTTCTTTTGTTAGGAAATCCTAATGAACTTCGTTGGAGTATTCATGTTCATCGCTGTGGGTGGGACAGCGCTTCACTATTGGCACGGTTATCTTCCGGAGCACAAATTCGACGCTATCGTGCAAGAAAGACAGGTGAGCATGAGTGCAAAATTGAAAAATCGCGTATACCAGTAGGTATTATTAAATTCGATGACTTTTTAGGTGGGTCTGGCCGTCGGATCCTTATGCATCATCGAAGGTGCAGCGTATCTCGTTGACCTGATTCTGAGCATTTTACACTTCCTGAAGTATCGCGACGAACTTTTATAATCGAACCGTAATCCCCTATATCGTCAGCAGGATTAATCATTTCGAAGCTCTCATTTATTATCGTGGAAAATCTAATTCGAACGTGTTCGTACACGATGCGAGCAAATTCGTTTATAATTGCGATGGATTTATAGGGGATTTCGTTGTTGCAATGCTATTAACGTAAATTGTATTCATGTGTGAAATTTAGTTACGAAGTAATTAGCTGTTAAAATAACCTGCGCTTCGCTCAAAAATATTTGATCACTTGCATTTCGCAGTGAAAAACCTCAGCTAAATGTAAAAACGATTCGAAGGAATTCATTGTTCGTTAAATAAGTTGTCAAATATATTTGAGTCGAAGGCATAAATCTTTCCCATAGCGGTTCATAGTCATGTAGAAATATCTCTAAATCTTGACAATAATCATCCCAAAGGGTATAGAACATTTCGAGTCATTTGAACTACGCTTGCGCACATCGAAGAATTAACGGCGGCATCGAATGACACACGTTTTGTACTCGTACATTTTTATACTACCTTCCTAGCCGACGTAGGAAGCAAGAAATAAATTATGTATCATAATTATTCTATTTCTATCACCGTTGACGTAAAAGAATGTTCGAAGAAATTTTCCATTAATTAATCTGAAACACCGAGTGAAATAATCGATCAAAACAAATGTGGACGATACATCAGCAACTTCAAATAATGCTTCTCTAATACCGAAAAGCGTGATCACATTCGAGGCACTAATAACCAAGTAAAATTGAAGCACAAAAATGGGTCGAGCGTGCATGAGCCTTTGGACGGACGTCCATTTTGTGTTGAAGGCTATTGTACTCGTAAGTTGTAACGAGTTGTAACGAGCACAATGGGATTTACAGATATCTTCTCAATTTAGGCACTGATGGCGGCCGTGGAATTTTTAGTTTTCGATTTGACCACGAAACAATACTTCCGTTACGTCTATCTTGAAGCATACTACTTTATCGTTCTGTCTTATTTAATCATCGTCTTGTATGGTTACACATGGTTCAACGTGGCTCCTATTCTGGTAACTGTATAAATTAATATTAACTCATTGCACTCGAGTGGCGACTAAAAATTGTTACGTTACGTTCGAGAATAATGTCTACGTTATTCAATTTTGCTTGTATTTTAAAAGCTTTTGAGAGTGTAACTATTGTATGAGTCATAAGACTCAATTGCATATGCATAAAATGCACAGAGTCGTTTAAAATGGAAATACTGTGAGTAAGAAGAACTGTTTTAGATTTAAAGTGTGCCTCGAATGCAAAACTCTGTCATAATTTTGATCGTAATTGACGCTCGAAATTTAAATAATGTTATCATTTCAAGACAGTTTTGTTCTCTAAATTCGGCATATATTTGCTTTTTATCAATGGATATGTTATTCAGCGATGAGTCTGTTAGGAACTTCATTGCAATAGAAAAAGCGTGGATTGTGTAAGCCGAACTGAGACTTTATGTTCACTATGATTTATTCAATGACATTCATCATTTATATATTTATAAGAAAAATGCAACACGGTCTAAAAATTATTAAGGCAAAATATGTGTCTATGTTGCATCTTGCAACTGGTGCAATTTTTTATTTTGCATAAACATTCGCAGTCTAATGATAAGTACTCGAAAACCTTTGTACTGGTAATACGATATATTGATAACAGACCGAATAAATTCAATGAAGTAAAAATTTAACGATAATTCGTATTTTGCTCAGGAAATTCTAATAGTGATTGCATCGGCTATTATGCTGGCCTTTACAATGATTTTGTATATTAAGGACAACCAATCGAAGGACTCGTCGGACAGTGAGTAGATAAAATTATGAACAATTGCATGATTGAAAAATGTACATGTGAAAATTACGTGAGCACTTTCAACTACAGAACAAACGAGCGACCAGTTTTTGATATTCGTCATACTAAGCCTGCGTAAGTTACGTGTGAATAAGAAAAAAACCCAGAATCTATCTTGAAAATATCTAATAGTTAATATCTAATATCTTCGTTAACAGTGGCGTTCATATTTCTCGTGATCGACATGATCTTGTTAATAATGGCAGCTTTCGGAAAAGGTCCAAACTTCGCAAAGCGTGGCGGCAATGGCGGTGGCGACTGAATAAATTCGAGCGAACCACTATCAAGAAAGAAAATCATTGAAAATCATATATATCGACAAAATGAACTGATATTAATAAATCACTCTCGTAAAACGTTTGCTGTTCATTCGACTTTAAATTGGAATGAATGTGCCTCCGGTTGGATGACAGATCGATCTCCATTTTATTTCGCAATGTAGAAAATTCATTTGTCGAACTTCAAGTCTAACGTCGAATCACTTCAAATATGTTTAAGCTTTTTCAATTCCTTTTAAAAGACTTCAGCTTTCTGTTGAAAGTGCTGAAACTGGTAAAATAAATACACGTTTGTGGGTGCTATTGCAAATGTCTTCAAAGATATCATGCAACCCTTTCGTCATCTAGATCCTTGCTGCCGCCTGTCTTGTCGAAATCGCGAAGTACAACGAGTATTCTATTCCAAGATGGCTCTGGGTCATTTACTGCATCGATACGACGACTTACTCAATCATCTACGTTACTCTCGGGCTGACGCACATATTCGAGAAACCACGGAAACTGCCAGTTAGTTAAAGCACGCGAGACTCAGTTCTGTAATTAAACCGTTCAGCGAACTATGGTCTCTTTTCCAGAAGAAGAAACTTCAATTATTATATGGATAAATATCATATGGATTCACTACATTGAGACTTCTCAATATTATATTTACTCACTGCATTGAGACTTCAATATTATATTGACTCACTACATTGGAACTTCAATATTATATTGACTTACTGCATTGAGACTTCAATATTATATTGACTTACTGCACTGAAACTTCAATATTATATTGACTCACTACATTGGAACTTCAATATTATATTGACTCACTGCATTGAAACTTTAATATTATATTTACTCACTGCACTGAGACTTCAATATTATATTGACTCATTGCACTGAAATTTCAATATTATATTGACTCACTACATTGGAACTTCAATATTATATTGACTCACTACATTGAAACTCTCTTCAATATTATATTGACTTACTGCATTGAGACTTCAATATTATATTGACTCACTGCACTGAGACTTCAATATTATATTTACTCACTGCATTGAGACTTCAATATTATATTTACTCACTGCATTGAGACTTCAATATTATATTGACTCACTACATTGGAACTTCAATATTATATTGACTTACTGCATTGAAACTCTTCAATATTATATTGACTCACTACATTGGAACTTCAATATTATATTGACTTACTGCACTGAGACTTCAATATTATATTGACTCACTGCACTGAGACTTCAATATTATATTCACTCACTACATTGAAACTTAAATTGTATTCTTATTCCCCACGTTGAAACATCAGTTTTATTTTTGTGGAAACTAGAACGCTTTTCGCTTGTGATATATATGAAAAATGTATTTAAACATTCTTCACCTACTCTTTTAAAGAACGTATTTATAGATTCATTTTTTTCATCGTTTTCGGTTGTCGAAAGCGAGATGTAAAATTCGTCTATATATTCGCAAAGAATTATTACGTGAAAAGAAATTCCTGATCGCTAATGTGCTACACGTTCCACCTACTTAGTATAATTAACACCAGGAACGCTGTTCGTAAGTTTCACTCGCATAGGTCTCGAATTAACATATTTGAACGTAACTCGAGGCGTTTGCCGAAGTAATTCTCCACCCACTACCCTAGCAATTTTACCTAATAATGCCAGTATATAATTTCTCAGAGAGGATTAATGTTTCAGCAAAACTTTGGAATTTTTCTGTCGCGCGGCCTGTTTAGATTTTTTAAGTTGTACAGTGCAGAATGGATTAAGATTGCTAATGCGTATAATCTTGGAAAAATTTATGTTAACATTATTATTTATCTCGGGAAGACGGTTATATATCTTCGATTGTGTTTTCAGCAATTCGTCTTCTTCTCGCTCGGATTAATTCTTCACTTGATAGGTGCGATAGCAGGTATCGAAAGATCGCGCAATGAAACTCCGTTAGATGTCGCGACAAACCGAAGCGAGCTCAAGATCGGGATGCTATTATTAGGTGCACATTATTATAAAAAATCTGCTAAAAATTTCTGTAACGCTATTTCTGCCGATGTTATCGTAAGACATCGTTTAATAATTTCTTTTTGACACTATTTTTACCAAAGGTGTTAAAGGGCATCTTCTATCTAAGTATTTTTAATAAAAATAATTTCCTATGCAATCGCTTCTCGACTTTCGCTGCAGTCATCACAAAATTAATTGGGCAAATTGTAAAATACAAAATATCGGTAAACATAGCGTTAAAATACCTATTAAAAATAAACACAAGATATCGGTTCGTTACAATTATATTCAATCAAGTGTTGCTGAACCGAACCTTAACCGAACTACAATTTATTATATTGCTGATTCAATTCAATTGCTATAATTCGAACTTTCGATCATTTGCAGGCAATTTCATCATCCTATTTTTCGAAACTTTATACATGATATACATAGAGGTTTCATTGAGAATGAGCGGCGAATTGACCACTGCTGCGAGCGTGCAAACAAACTGAATAAACGTTCTCAACCCTTGTATTCTGCCTTTCCTTTTGTCAAGTTTACAGAGTCGGCTAAATAATTTATTAGCACTATCGCAGTATACGAATGATTTTCATTCTCCTGCTCGCGAGTTGCTTGTCCAACAATTTTTCAGTATCCTCGTCTTTCTAATCACGCTTCGTTATAATAAGAATCACCAAGTCCGCAATCAATACGCCGGCTGAAAGCAGCGGAATTATATTTTACGGTGGTATCGATCATGTTATTACGTTAGACGGTTGTAAATATACTTTGTTAAATTCGTAGAAGTAATTTGACTGCCCCAAAAATGTTTCTAATAAACACTACGCCTCGAAACATTTGCATAAATTGTAAATCGCAATTGAATGTTCGTGAATACGATGAAATTATTAAATCAAGGAATGAAATCATTAAATCAATAAATAAAATTACTAAATCAATGAATGAAGTCATTAAATCAATGAATAAAATTATTAAATCGATTGATGAAGTCGCCATAAAATCTGACTTTTGTATTTTTCGACAAGCAACGAGATTTACAAATTGCAGATAATTATTGCAACATATTTCTAGACTGCGTGTAGAAATACTTTTGCAACATTTCGCGGCGTTGTCTTCGAAACCACATATCTTACGTATTTTATTTTTATTACCTAGTATGAAAGGCATGACGCATCTCGACGACATGTCCATCAGCGCCGTCAACAAAGCTATAACAATATAGAATCCGAGAGCGAAAACTTCCTATAAAATAAGAAAGTCAAACAATTGTACCAATCAAATGAAACTCAGAAGAATATTATCCACCATATAAATTATCGTCAATATTACTAAAAATATTGGCATGCTTTTAACTTTCATCTAATGAAGTAGCTTCTGTCACAGCTGAAACTACTGTGAACCACAAAATATTAAGATTGCTTCTGCAAGTTCGTTGATTAAGTAACGTCGGAACAAATGATAGCTCTGAAATCCTCTTAATTTCTTAATTCTCTTAATCTATTAATTAGAAGTTCCCACTTCACTAAATCAAGGTTATCCGCCTATATTTCGCAAGGCACGCCTGATTCTATTAAGCAGACTAAATTGTTGAACCAATTAAACTACATTTCGTACCGTCCACACAGTCTGATCCTCGAATATATAGGACACAATATAGAAGAGCGACAAGAACAACCAACCGTGAACAGCGATCACCCATAGAAGTCCGACGCCATTTTGGTAAAAAATCAACGCCAGAATGCAAAGCACCTGGAAGCCATGACCAATCAGTATGCTTCGAAATATAATAAATTCTTCCTAATTGACGCTCAACTTGGAAACAAAAATGGACAATTTGAGAAGAGGAGGTACGATTATTCGAGCCTTGCGGCTCGTTTTTATAGTTACCGATTGTCAACAGCTATAAAAACGAGCCGCAAGGCTGGAATAATCGTATCTCCTCTTCCCAAATTGTCCANTAATTATTGCAACATATTTCTAGACTGCGTGTAGAAATACTTTTGCAACATTTCGCGGCGTTGTCTTCGAAACCACATATCTTACGTATTTTATTTTTATTACCTAGTATGAAAGGCATGACGCATCTCGACGACATGTCCATCAGCGCCGTCAACAAAGCTATAACAATATAGAATCCGAGAGCGAAAACTTCCTATAAAATAAGAAAGTCAAACAATTGTACCAATCAAATGAAACTCAGAAGAATATTATCCACCATATAAATTATCGTCAATATTACTAAAAATATTGGCATGCTTTTAACTTTCATCTAATGAAGTAGCTTCTGTCACAGCTGAAACTACTGTGAACCACAAAATATTAAGATTGCTTCTGCAAGTTCGTTGATTAAGTAACGTCGGAACAAATGATAGCTCTGAAATCCTCTTAATTTCTTAATTCTCTTAATCTATTAATTAGAAGTTCCCACTTCACTAAATCAAGGTTATCCGCCTATATTTCGCAAGGCACGCCTGATTCTATTAAGCAGACTAAATTGTTGAACCAATTAAACTACATTTCGTACCGTCCACACAGTCTGATCCTCGAATATATAGGACACAATATAGAAGAGCGACAAGAACAACCAACCGTGAACAGCGATCACCCATAGAAGTCCGACGCCATTTTGGTAAAAAATCAACGCCAGAATGCAAAGCACCTGGAAGCCATGACCAATCAGTATGCTTCGAAATATAATAAATTCTTCCTAATTGACGCTCAACTTGGAAACAAAAATGGACAATTTGAGAAGAGGAGGTACGATTATTCGAGCCTTGCGGCTCGTTTTTATAGTTACCGATTGTCAACAGCTATAAAAACGAGCCGCAAGGCTGGAATAATCGTATCTCCTCTTCCCAAATTGTCCATTTTTGTTTACAAGCTGAAGGAAAATTAGGGAGAATTTACTGTATTCTCTAACAGATGACAACGAAAAATCCACTTACGAATTCTATGATTCTTAAAATGAAGTTGACGTCGGTGAACAGTTCTTTGACGCCTTTCATTTTCGATTCTAGATTGCTCGATCGCTGTCAACCGATTCGTTTCTCTCCGACCAGCGAAACGACATGAAATTCTCGTGGACGTGATCGATGCGGAAAGAATGATCTCGCTAAATGTTCAGAGCGCAGTATCTCAGAACAAAGTAGAAACGCGAAATTGCTTAAATAAATAATCGTGTCTCGGACGAAATTTGAATCGATAGGGAAACATGGCCAGTTTGCCATTACCTTTCTCATTCTCGAGGCTCAACGATTGGAACATTGACAAGACGTTGTTAATATGGAAGACTATATCCCTGGTACGTTCTCTGAAAATAATCCCGCGTTTTTAGAAACTACTTGAACCCGCGTAACAGCAAGATAACAGATCTCAGTGTCAGGGTTAGCAACCATTTTCTTTGGACTTTAATTCGTATTGTTACGCAAAGTCTATTTTTTTTCTTTTTTTAATTAGAAATGAGATTTACCATTATACAATCAATGAACAAGCACTCAAATCATATAGCTAAATAAATTGCTGCGATGGAAGAAATCAGGTGATTATCCGACGTCACTGTTTCTTAATTAGCCTCTTTAACGAATTGCATTGCAGGCTGCCTGCATAATTGGCACAGTGTTATACTACAGCCCGTTGGAGCCGTATTTAGAGTTTCCATGTTTCGGAGTCCTAGTGCCTACATTCATAATCGGCTATCTCATCATCATGTCCATCGAAATGCTAATTCTGTTCGCAGAAGAGGATTATTTGTTCATCGTGAGTAAGTGAAACGTACGTAACACGTTAATGAACCCGGGCTACGATGCTGGGAATCCGAGAAATTTCAACCTATCTGGTTTCGATCCAATAAGGAAGTGTGTTTCAATGTGGTTGGCGCGATCGCGAGCATGGCGTGCGGCATTTATGAATTCTACAAGTGGGTCACGTGGATAATCGAGGTTTCAAAACCACCCGACAGTGATAACAAGTATGTTCGCAAGCATTCTGCATCGTTCTTTGACGTAAACTTATTTTTCATATACGGAAAATCTTTCGGGATCGTAAGAGAATCCTACTTTTTGCAATCTGACTCCAGACAGATCAAAATTAAAGATAGACAATACGATTGTATTGTAATGTAAGTGAAATACCTTGTAATTATAATTCCTTGAGCAATTCAATTGTAATCCTACGCAACTCTGTTCACAATTGTAATTACGAAGTATGAAAATCGATTACATTATAATCCAATCACATTGTAAATCGCTATTCAGATCATCGTTCAATTAAATTACCGTGTAATTCGCAATTAAAATTGCATTACAGTTACAAAATACTAAATAATTGAGTTACAATGTAATATGTCATTGTAATAGGAGTGCAATTAGAAAATACTAAATAATTGAATTACAATGTAAATGAATTAAAATTACGAGAAAAATATATAATTATATTGTATTTCATTTATATTGGATTTCAATCGCATTGGATTCGAATTACACTCGCGATTCAAATAATTAGCAATTGAACGAACTGAAAGGTTTGAATTATGTAATTGGACTACAACGTAGTTGAATCGACGTGTTATTGAGACACGGTGCAATTAAATTGCGAAATTGAACTACAATGTAATTGAATTGGCACAATTCTGTCTGTGGACGCTTGTGCAAAAGAAAAATTGTTAGCGTCAATTGAAAGATTCGGAAGTTTGGTAAAAATCATTTCGATCCGCTGAAAATAATATATCAATATTTTTCAATTCGTTTAGACTTTCTACTGTTTTTAATGATTAGCATAAATGCATAAAATTCGCAGTCTAATTATGAAAGAGCGAGTCCATGGATAAATCTCCGAAAAACATCGAATCGCGTAGATTTTGAATTCTTAAACAGAAACGTCAATTTTGAGTACGTCTGTCGAGTCAGCAATAAGTAGTAAAAATTGTATTAAAACTCTCGATGAACCGATAAGAAAATCTGCGTAATTTATGTTCAAAATAACAATGAATATTGATTGCTTTCAATTTGTCCCAGTCTTGCAGAATTCGCGCTCGCAGTAGCGTTAATAGTTCACTCGGTGTCGATGGCAGCTGTGGTGTTTCATCAGCTTCGGCAGCACATAAATTTATCAGCATTTTTTCATCCTTAATTTCCTTAACAGGATTGTTGAATGAATTTTAAACCTCCGTCGAGGACCAACCGGTTTCTTAATTTTGAACCCTGGCGACAACACGATTATACAAAGTCTGTTTAAAATGTTTTCCGTCAATCTGATAAATAAAATGAACGTTGTAGACGTGTCGAGTAGTGTTCAGATTGTCAATAAATAGTCGCACGGGCATTCGTAAATTCTTGATGACAAGTCATTGACGAGAAGAATGGTCTCTTCAATGAACACATCGCGCTTTTTTCCTGATCTTCGTGTTACCGAACCGAAGGAGGGTAACAAAGCGACCACGATATGCATCAATTAGTCTACTTGACCTCGTAATCATCGTGAATGACCGGTACGATCCCACACCCACGATCCGGATACATAATCACGTTAATTACGAGCGTTGCTGGTAATTTAACCTTTCGAGGCACGACTCGAAAAACGACACCCATTTACGAAAGAGAGGAGAAGCCGAAAGAATTATGCAAATCTGTAGATAGGAATCTCTGAGCTTATTAAATGCAATCTCGTTATCCCGTGTCTTCGTATCGTGCACAAATGATGTCTTTTCATAAATAAAAAAACAATTCTGTGGTATTCGCTATTCGAGCGTGAATACTTGATTGTTGCAAATTTTGTTGCCATTTCCCATCGATTTGGAAGTCACAACATATCGAATTAGAATGTAATCCGTTTCAAACAGTAAGCCGAACTTAAATACGTCCAAATTGTCAAACACAACTCGTCGAAATATCAAAAAACAGTTGTTAAATACAAGCTGCTACTCACAACACTTTATAAATAAAATTGTTAAACACGTGTTGCAAGTGTGTCTGTACATTGAGAGAAGTTCGTCAGAAAGTACAATAAAAGATGAGTCAGCGAAAACAATCGTGGTTTGTATTAGCTAGATCTACAACCCGGAAATCGTCGCGAATAACTCGAGAACGATAGGAAGATCGCGTAGTGATTATTGGTGAAGAGATGATGCCGCACCTACTGACCCAGTGAACACGTGATATGTACTCTGCACGCATGTTTGTGAATCCCGTGGACAGTGTGGTAGTGTCCGCGTACGTGTTAGTGACTGTTTTACTGTGACACTAACGTGTGCGTGGTATAGTTTTTCACAGCTGCGGTTCCTACAAAGTGTCGGATCCGTTATGCAATCAGAAAATTGTTAGTTCAATAGAACGGAACGTTCGCATTTAATTTGATTCAGTATTTCTTCAAGAATTATACTCAAGCAGAATTTATTACATCATCACTGCGTGTCTATTATAGATTAAATATCCTAAATAGATGTATGCTAAGCGATTAAACATGAAAAGTGATTGAACAAATTGAATAATTCATTGTTTAGTTCAAGTTGATCTGAAGAAAGCGTTGGTATATTTTTAACCCTTCGCACTCGTGTGGTAACCCTGAGGCGACGCTAACAATTGCTACGCTATTTTCAAAAGAACATTCGCATTCGATAAATTGTCAAATAATAGAAATCTTATATAAGCATACACGTCCAATTTCACGCGTGTATCAAATAAAAACAATTACACCAAATAGAAATACTGTAGGTTGAAACAAACGTCTTCATTTTCGCGTTAAATCCCTTCATTTTCGAGTGTAAAGGGTTAAAAAATTATATCGAAACGTCAAAAGGGCTCCGCTAATTCGGCGGTTGTTAAATCTATTGGATTTTAATCACTGTTTCGATCGAGAACAATTGAATATTTCAGGTTGTTTCGAACATAAATAACGCGAACACGTAAGCTTCGTTTTCCCCAGGTGTGTTCCCTTTCGCGGCATAAAATTCTGTCTGGAATTAGAAGTTTATGATCGATATTGGATATAAGAAGATAGTCCGTGTAGAGGCTGACTTCTATTTCATCCGCAATCGCCGTATGTGAAATTACTGGCATCCTTAAGTTACTTCAATATTTACGCAGTTATACGACTGTCGTGTCACGGTCGAAACGAAACTTTCTATCGCAGACCATCGTGTGGAGCCTCTCTTGTGTAACGAACTTACGAATATAGGTCGCTAATCGTAACTTGTTCACACTTTACTAATTTACAATACGTTTCTACAGCTGGCTTACAACAACATGACACGAGAAATCGCAGTTCGAGCGAAACAAGGGAATTTAAAAACAATATACAGCAATTTCTCCCTAATTCGCGCTCAGTTTGCGCACAAAAATGGACAATTTGAGAAGATAAGATACGATTATTCAAGGCTTGCGTCTCGTTTTTATAACTGTTGAGAATCGATAACTATAAAAATCAGTCTGGAACAATCGTATCTCCTCTTCCCAAATTGTCCATTTTCGTGGGCAATCTGAGTGCGAATTAGAGAAACTGTCCACGTTAACCTCTTATCAAACTCTACGTTATTTCAACGAGGTGAATTTTACAAACGTTTCCGTAAAATGTCGCTCCGTCCAACTCTTCCAGCCAGAGGTAGTAGCTGTATAAATAAATTCACAAGCAATCCGGTTGCGACAATAATTTCCCAACGAAACCGTTCATCGATTCGCGAAGTCTGCCGCGAAAGGCGCAAACAACGCGAAAGCTCGCTAGGAATCGAGGAAGAAGTCTCGAAAAGATAGTTCCCCAAGGTCGTAGAATTCCATCATCGAATGGAATCCGCACGGCGGCGCCGCGGCCGTTCGTGAACGTAGTTGGAGGAAAATTCGTCGCGGTTTTCATCGTTCGCCCGATCCAATTCCACTTTCGTTCATGCATGTTTAAATAAGACGTTGTGGCGGTGGTCTGCGCTCCAAGGCTTTGCACGCGTACACATCCGCAGTACGTCCACGCAAATTATACACCGTGAGTCACGTGAAGTCCAGCATGCTCCGATGCATGGCTCTCCGACGCACCGACAACACGTGCTCATGAATTAAATCCCGTGGTTACCTCGCCCTTCGTTCCAGGCTCCAATTACCCCGCCGTTTCATTTCTTTTTTTTCTTTTTTTTCGAAATCCTCGGTCGCGCGTCCGGGATCCGCTAAATTATTCGCGAACCTGAACACCGTTTTAACGCTAGAACTACGGAGCACCGAGCACACCGCTGTTGCTTCATGAGAACAACAAGGTTCGCATTTGCTCAAACGTCGTGCAATTTTTATTGCCGTATGCACTTTGCAGGTAAGTTCAGTGAAACATTTCTCGAGCCCCAGCAGTTCTATAATTTCAATAATTGTGGGAGAAATATCGTGGAATACCAGAACTTTTTTCGGGTAGCGAAGCCGGTTACTGTGGGGTATCAAATTAGACACATTCAGTTTTTTTTATTTAAATCCAATTTGTTATTTATTTGCTTAAATTAAACACGTGAAAGACGAAAGTTCTTGAAATACCATAAAAATTGTTCCATATTTTTAATACCGAATTCGCGAAATTTCCTGTCGAGCTTATAAAAAAATACTGAAATCTACTGAATGAAGATCAATATTGAGTAAAAGTAGTTGTATAAATTATTATATTTCATTTGAGTTCAATTTATTGTATTTTATTCTATTTTATTTTCTTGTTTTATTTTATCTCATTTCGAATCATTCTAGGAAAAATTTATATTAGTCAAAAAAAAACTAAAATGTACCTGCAAGTTCTTAAGATACTTTTCAATTAAATTGTTAAGGTTGTTTTTAGTAACGAAAACTGCTGAAGTCGATGAACAGGGCACATTTCAGCTTTCAAATCGCTGAAGCTTCTTAACATCTCAACTAAGTTTCGACTAAACCAATAGAATGAAGGCTCTCTTAAAATAAAATTTTGATTTCTTACAATCCAATTAGAAAACGTTCATCTCGCATAGAGATCGGCAGTCCAGCGCTGAATGAACGAGAGGGAATCCGACGACAGCCTAATAGCATCTAAAAAGTGAGCTAAGCGTAACGGGGAGGACCGCGCGTCCGCGGTCGCACTTTTTCACGAAATTGCGCGACAGTGACACAATCGCACGTAAGATTGTGAGTAGACGGCACACGGTCATACGGTGAACCTTGCTAACAAAGCCTACAGACCGCCTGCGCAAGTTGCACGTACGTACGGCGTAGTCACGGCGTGTCATGGTTGGCGTTCCAGTTTAAGTTGTGCCGCGACGCAGCGTGGAACTGCACGGTTCACTGTCGATTCCGCGTCGTTCGCCGTGAATCGCCGCGATTCCGCACCTGCAGACGGACGCTAGTCCGAGTATCGAGCCGATCGATCGGATCAATCGACTCGTTCGCCGCCTCGTGTCCTCGGACGCGCGAAATTGTTACGCGAACCGGAGACACTCTGTGAAAACGCGACAAGTTGCTTGTCCGTCAACGTGGTAGCGAAGAGTCCTTTGGTGAATCTTTGGCGTGGAAGCTTCAAAAAGCGTTGAAGAACGTTCCCAGGGCGAAGATTTCTTGTATCTAGAGGTACGTGCATGGTCGCGGAGCATGATCTTTTGTTATTGTTATGGCGAACGTGATCTTTCGGTGTTTTATGATTCTCCTTGCTTAGAGATCTTTATACAGAGTTTTCAAGATTATTTGAGAAATGTTGACATCGATTTTTAACAGAAAAGCTGGAGCAAAGTTAACGTTAGTTAGCACACAGGATTGTTTTGTTCTGAAAATTCTGTATCCGTTAGTTATTTTTTAACGTTTATGACAGATTTGAATCTTGAACACCGTGTGATTCTGTCACCTTGCGTGACTCCGGAGAATTTGATGGTGAGAAAACTTGGAAATGGAAATTTGAATGTTTTTCTATTGTGTCGTTTATGAATAGAGGCGGATCATGGTTCAGGCGCGTAGTCTGTTTGCGTAGCGGAGATCTTGTAACTCACTGTTACAAGCGACCATACTTTTAAACGGCGGTCGTAGTATAGGATGTTAATCAATCTGGTCTCCGCCGATTGCATAATGTAAATGACACAGTCATGCGAATATCATTCCGAACGTGGAACATGCATTTACTCGCTGCGAACTATCAATGAAACTGTTCGGCGTCTAATCTTCGACACGAAACACGATTTATTTACTGTCAAGTAATTTTCGCACGTGACAAAATTATGTTGTAACGGACTAATAAAAATATCCTTGGTTCTCAAACATATTTTATATTATTTTTTTTATAAGTCGTTTGTTACAGTAAATATTTGTTAAGCAAGTATCAAAGATTTTCCAAGTTAAAGTATAATAGATTTTGAAGTTGAATATAATAGGTTTTATACAGTTTTTATTTTGGAATGCAATTATGTTCAATGATACTATTTGTCATTTTATTTCGAACTCGATAGCACATTTGGTAGAAAGAATTCATTTTTATATGATTCCAGACTCGACAAAATCGACAATAAAAATTGATAAAAATCGACAGTCCAATAATATACAGCACTTTCCTAATTTAGTGATACAGTGACTACTAGTGACTATAGTGACTACACATTTTTATACAAACTAAACAAGCATGAAGCTACGCAGACATCGATTTCTATTCTAAATAATTTTAGTGATTTTTCTAATTGCTTCAAATTACCGTTTGAAGGAAATAAGCGAGAGGAGCTTGCGGAGATCGCTTTCACAGAATTTCTTGGAGAAAGACACTGAAATTTATCCTCGTAATTCCCACCCACATCTTAAAATCACTTCATCAGCACTTGTCCCAAGTTCATGGGGGTTACGCCGCCGGCACTCTCCCCGCACAGTTTGATGTTTATCGCAACGCTTGCTACCGGCAGGATCGATGCGCTCAATGAAAGAGAACTAGGAATCGGAAGGCAAGGAAACTGATCGTGAACAAAGGGTATACTTGAAATCCTTCAAGCTGGGTGACGGCAAAGGGAAACATCGCAGAGTCAGAATGGCAGACGAGGGTCAACAGGAGCAGCACGCCCCCAAAGAGCGCAAGATAGTTCGGCATCTACCGTTTATCGTGAAGATCGTGGAAGTTGTAAGTTTTATTACGATTTTTCCAAGAAAATTGATTTATTTCTCCCTAAGAAAATTTATTTACTTCTCTAGGAAAATTAATTTATTCCTCTAAAAAAATATATTTACTTCTCTAAGAAAATTGATTTATTCCTCTAAGAAAATTTATTTATGTTTTCTAACAATTTATTTCTCTAAGAAAATTTATTTATCCTTGATCTTCTCTCTCCGATTTATAATCAAGAATGAACCTACCGAAATTGCTGAAACAATCAAAACTGAAGATTTCTTTCGTTTCTAAAATCGCAACATTTGCGAAGACTACTTCATTTTCGATAATAAAATGAATTGAAAGCGGGAAAATCATATCTCAGCGATTCAAAACTGTTAATTTTTTAAGAATTCTTTGCAATCCACGCGTTGTTTTCAATTAAAACAAGCCTTGACAATTATTCGAATCGATATTAGTTAAAATATGATGTAATTAGAATAAAAATACATAAAATTTAAAAACAAATATGCACAATATGATATGTAAATTTGGAAGGAGCATGTCGAAAGTAAAGATAGCAATGAAAAATGAGCATATCTTTCATGAGTTAAGCACAACCATTAAGAGCGATAATTTCGTATGTATTGCGTATTTTAGTTAAATAATAATGTTTACCACTTTTTACAGTCTCGACATTATGGCTGTTTGTTTAATGTTTTTAGATCCTGTCTGTGTTTGCGATTGGACTAATAGTGGATCCGATGAACTCGTTCCACAAATTACTGATTCGGACGAGATTCAAACTCGACGATGCCGCGATTATTTACATCTCCATCGCTGGCTACTTGATAATCAACACGCTTTTCATCATCTGTCACTTCCTCGGAGATCGAATACCAAAGAGAACGGTAAGCTCCTTATCCAACCGTTTTCTTTCCGAATTTAGTTCGGTCTCATTCAATTTAACTAAAACTATATATGTCGAAATATTTAGAAAAAAAAAATGTAATTCATAGAATGCGGATTTGTGTGCAAAATAAAAATTGTATGCACCAATTGAAAGATATAGAAACAAATAGCAAATTCGTTTTTTCTTTAATCGTTTTAATAAATCGAAAATAATATATTAATCATTTTAAATTCTTTTAATATTTTTACTATTTTAAATTACTCAATTTTGCCACAAACGCATCAAATCCGCAGTAATTGACATAATTCAAGAAACGAAGAATCATAGGATACGTCTGAACGATTGAACAAATCATAGCGCAAAATGACGAGTAATAAAACAAATACAGTAAATTTTCCCTAATTGACGCTCAGATTGTATAGAAAAATGGACACTTTGGGAAGAGAAGAAACGATTATTCGAGCAATTAAATGAACAGAACGGAAACGTCATTAAATCATATCATGTGTTCCTTCGCTTTTTATATTCCGCATTACAGTAAATTCTCCCTAATTGACGGTCAGATTGTACACAGAAATGGACAATTTGCGGCTCGTTTTTATAGTTGTTGACAATCGGTAACTATAAAAACGAGCCGCGAATTGTCCATTTCTGTGTACAATCTGAGCGTCGATTAAGAATAATTTACTGTAATGCCTGTCTCTTATACACATCTAGATGTGTATAAGAGACAGGCATTACAGTAAATTATTCTTAATCGACGCTCAGATTGTACACAGAAATGGATAATTCTGTCTCTTTTACACATCTAGATGTGTATAAGAGACAGGCATTACAGTAAATTATTCTTAATCGACGCTCAGATTGTACACAGAAATGGATAATTCTGTCTCTTTTACACATCTAGATGTGTATAAGAGACAGGCATTACAGTAAATTATTCTTAATCGACGCTCAGATTGTACACAGAAATGGATAATTCTGTCTCTTTTACACATCTAGATGTGTATAAGAGACAGGCATTACAGTAAATTATTCTTAATCGACGCTCAGATTGTACACAGAAATGGATAATTCTGTCTCTTTTACACATCTAGATGTGTATAAGAGACAGGCATTACAGTAAATTATTCTTAATCGACGCTCAGATTGTACACAGAAATGGATAATTCTGTCTCTTTTACACATCTAGATGTGTATAAGAGACAGGCATTACAGTAAATTATTCTTAATCGACGCTCAGATTGTACACAGAAATGGATAATTCTGTCTCTTTTACACATCTAGATGTGTATAAGAGACAGGCATTACAGTAAATTATTCTTAATCGACGCTCAGATTGTACACAGAAATGGATAATTCTGTCTCTTTTACACATCTAGATGTGTATAAGAGACAGGCATTACAGTAAATTATTCTTAATCGACGCTCAGATTGTACACAGAAATGGATAATTCTGTCTCTTTTACACATCTAGATGTGTATAAGAGACAGGCATTACAGTAAATTATTCTTAATCGACGCTCAGATTGTACACAGAAATGGATAATTCTGTCTCTTTTACACATCTAGATGTGTATAAGAGACAGGCATTACAGTAAATTATTCTTAATCGACGCTCAGATTGTACACAGAAATGGATAATTCTGTCTCTTTTACACATCTAGATGTGTATAAGAGACAGGCATTACAGTAAATTATTCTTAATCGACGCTCAGATTGTACACAGAAATGGATAATTCTGTCTCTTTTACACATCTAGATGTGTATAAGAGACAGGCATTACAGTAAATTATTCTTAATCGACGCTCAGATTGTACACAGAAATGGACAATTTGCGGCTCGTTTTTATAGTTGTTGACAATCGGTAACTATAAAAACGAGCCGCGAATTATCCATTTCTGTGTACAATCTGAGCGTCAATTAAGAATAATTTACTGTAATGCGCAATATAAAAAGCGAAGGAACACATGATATGATTCAATGACGTTTCCGTTCTATTCATTTAATTGCCAGACCTTTTAATTACTCCGCGCATACGTGACGAAGGAAAACGGTGTCCCAACAATTCGGCAGTCCATGAAACAATTGTATGCACACCCGCGATAGAATCTAGATTACGTGACGCGATCCATGACAATAAATTGACGAAGTGACACAATCGAGGAATCGCGTGACGATCAAGAAAGGAAACACAGCGTTGCGTCCTGTATGTAGATCCGTCTCCTTCATTCGATACTTTCGAGATCTGTTCACCGGCGAGTTTCCAATTGACTGCTCTCTATCCAAAGGCCTAGACCATTTGTACAGCTGAGGCGACGACGATACCACGCGTACAATAATTAACAGATGCGTCATGATCTTTCGTGCGTGCATCAACGCGTCCTCCGTGTCTTCGTTTCCACGGAATTATTCGCTCTCTCACGGCAAATCTTAACAGATACTCACAATGCGACGTAGGCATATTCCTCAACCATTTCTTCAAATTTGTGAAACTCGATTTCGTTGACGAGGGGGTTTCCTAAATTAACGCGTTAACGCAGCTGACATCATCCTTCTTCAATCTTGAATCTTCAATCCAGAGTTGGCGAAGTTGACGATGCTTAAACTCGTTTGACTTGTTAACGACGCGATCGATTGTTTAACATGATGTCGCTTGCATGAAAATTTCCTGACTGACCTTTAAAAAATTACTATTTAAATACAAATGCTACGTTGTAATGGATTTTTAATAGAAATTTATGTTAATTAATTTTGAATTGTACTATTTGCGTTTGGTGAAGCAATGTTGATGGAAGAGGAAGCTTTTCTTTGTCACTTCCTTTAGCTTCACTATGGTTTTAGAATGATTTAATAGGCGTACCATTTATCTCTAATTACTAATTTCTAATACAAATTTACTATAATTGATATCAGCCCTATTTTAAATCAATTAACTTAAAATTCTATTAAAAATCTATAACAATTCAAATGTATAATAAAAATTCACTAAAAATTTGTAATAATTAATTGCAATTATAATTTAAATTTTTATTAAAAATTATATATTATAATATAAAAGTTTATCATAATTAATACGATCTCCGTTTAAAATCAATTATCTTAAATTTCTATCAAAGACCTATTAGAACTTAAAATAATGAAAATTCGTTACAAATCAATTAAAAATAAAATATTATTAGAATTATAAATAATTCTATACCCATTAATTCATTGAATAATATAGGTTCTAATTTACATAATATATTCATCCTTCGACTGACACAGTTTCAATGATCTACGTATCAGATGTGCGACCGTCCACGTGCAAAATAAAGGGAATCGCGACAACTTTTTCAAGAAAATGCTGTTTCATAGAATCGCATTAGACATTCAAGGCTGCGTAACGAAGGTTCGCCTGTTTTTATTTCTGGGATCATAAAGCTATTATCGCGAACGACAGTTGAGTATCTATCGATCCAGCGTTATTAGCGTCGCCTGAAAAATGCAATTTTCGTCGACAGTACTTTTACTCGCGCATCTGCGTTAAGTGCAGATTAGGCTCGAAGCTAATTCGTTTTTAATGGCGGCGCGGTTACGTTCCATTTAGTAATCGTAAGGGGAATCGTTGCGGCAAACTGTCCGCTTGCGGATTAACTGAAAATTATTATCTTAATTAAATGCAATGCTATGCAATCCACCGTGAGCGTGCCAGGCCTGTGAATTAGAAATTTATATTTGAAACGTTTCGCTCCAAAGTGCGGCCACGGTGGAACTTTTGAAGCACACTATGATAATTCCGAGCGATTATCGTGCTCGCGTAGCAATTATCGGAAGAATGTACGTTCGACAAATGGTGATTACGTTGAAACAATACGATCGGGTCGGTCGTACAAGCACACGGCTGCGTTCTCTGCTCTACTTCGACGGAAATTCATAACTTATCAACTTAGGTTCCTATGCCCCACGTTATCAACCACCTACTTCTGCGACGTTTATGCTTTGTTTAACGATCGAAACTTCAGGTATCGAGGACTGCTTTATTCGAAAAATGGCGACGCTCGCGCCGTTGCACCGCAGTGATAACACGCTGCGTAATTAGAAACTTCGATGTGAACGCGGACGACACCCTGGCCTCATTTTGTCGATGTAAAAAAGGGACTTTAGAATAAATCATAACGACTATCGCACATGTTCACTCATGGACAAAAGATTAAAGAACACTTTTTAAAATGCAAACTGAACCAAATAATTTCAACTTGTTGAAGACGTTAGAGAGATTGGTTTACTGCACACTGATTAAAATACCTTTTACAAATATTTTTTTAATTTCTTTTTTAACGGTGTTTCAATTGTTCATATCTGCTGTGTTGAATTCCCATCTATCTGTTGATTGCAGATTATGAGTCTTTATGCATAGTTAATCGTAAACCGTATGGATGCTAATGCACATATAAATGAACTTATAAATAATAATAGTAAAAAATCAATCTGGCAAATAGGTGTTCATTTACCACCTGATATCATTTAATCGTGAAGACACGCGACGACCTATTTTGTCTTTTCCGACCGGCGTTTTGTTTAATCGAGTTAAATCGTGTCAATTAATGCAGACATTTCATAAAGAGAGAACATATTTTATTCCTTCTTTAATTAATAAAAAGTATTAATACTGGAAAGCATTAAAATTATTCCTACGACTAAAATTTAATTCTAATATGTTGTAGATATGTATATAAAATTTGTTACAAGAATTTTAATTTTTTGTATGCATTTTAACAACGATTGCAGAAAAGAGGAATTTTCTTCAAGAAAATGCAATGCTAATTTTTGAGGATATAACAATTAATCGTGGGAAAAAGTTGGTACACTTTCCCATCAATGATAAATCGAGGAGTGATTATTCTACGCTGAAATTGTTAGTTTAATGTTCTTATGAGAACTAGTATGCAGGTTGTGCGACGCCATTTGGTCGGGTTATGTCCTCGAGTTTGATTAGATATAGGAAAATGTAGAGTACTATAGAAAGGTCTATTTTCCTACCGGTTTATTTTCTGCTATGACGCTTCTAGAAAACACAATTGAGCTTCCCTCTTGTGCCACAATATTACTGTTACAAAAAATACCCGTGAAGAGATTGATTTATACGAAATCATATCTTTAAGTATATTGTTATTATGTTAGGTAGCTTTTAATATTTTCATTTGTATTTTCTAAATATACTTTAAATATTAAGCAAATATAAATTTTAAAAAAATAACAAGTTCCATTCAATTTAAAAGTGCACTCGAACATTTTCACGTGTTGTTTCACTTATTTGAAAAATGAAGTTACGTAGAAGTTTGCTGAAACACGTAATTATTTTTCACTCGTACTAAAAATAAAAAAGAGTATTGCATTTACATTAAACAACTACGATCTACCAAGTATATTGTAAAAAAGAACTCAAAAAAATTTTAATTCTTTCAAACTATGTAAATCGAAAAATGTCCAAGAATATTGATGTGACAGAAGTGTTTCGCCCTCTTTGAACATTATTTCAACACATTTAAATCTCCGAAATGTTACTAAAAAATATACCGTTGTAATTGGAAGAGTCTGCAGAATGCTTCTGCATCCGAATCATTCGCATGATCTTCCTAATTAAGGCAGAAAAAATTCTTCAATTCGAAGGTCTCATTTCCTGTCGAAAACAGAATGTCACAAAAATTGAAGGCAATATCGAAGAACGATTTTTGAATTCGAGTTCAGCTGATCAAAAAACTATAATTTATTTAACTCGATACGTCCCTTTTGTTCCAGTTGATACTGTTCGCCTCGCTAGGTGCGCTTCTGCACATCGTCGCCGGAAGCGTGATCGTCTACAATTGGAGAAAAATCCAAGGTCCCTACTACAGCAACAACGAGTTCTACCCGAGTAAACAATACATGGACATGTTCATATCGGGGGCGGTGTTCACGTTCGTGAACGCGGTGATTTTCGTCGTGGAGGTGATCCTGACGGTGAAGTACTCGACGAAGAGCTCGCAGTGAGGAGGGACACGCATCATTCGAAAGGTAGATCGACTACGATTATCGGAAATCATTGTTCCGAGACGTCCTTGTTATACGAACGACGTATTAAATCGACAGCTGCCAAGAAGCTATGAACAAATCGACAGTAAAATAATTACACGATGTTACATGTCGTTCGAGAGAAACGCGTATAAATTGTAATTGCACTGCGGATTTTGTGCATTCGTGATGGAAACGGGCTGGTGAAATTTAACGTGTTAAGAAAATTCAAAGAATTTTAATTGAATTCGATCTCTTTCGATCGAAAGAGAACATCGGTTATCGTCTTATTACAACGCCCAATGTGTCTTGTTGCAATCGATGCAACAAATTCGCACTATGCATAAAGTTTCGCAGTTTGATTATAATAATTTGATTATAACAAAGAATATTTTAATATATCTCGAATTATAAAGTTCACGAGTGGCGCGTTAGTCAGTAATATACAATTAATACAGTACGACTAGAGAGTAGAGAGAGAGAGAGAGAGAGAGAGAGAGAGAGAGAGAGAGAGAGAGAGAGAGAGAGGG